GAGATGAAAAGAGGCCCAGCAGGTGTAGCAGGTGGTGTGATTCTTTTTGCATTAAAACAAATCATGTTTTGTTCTGTCTTTTCCGGACAGATCAGATCAGATCTAATAATTATCTATCAATTGAACGTCTTGAACCAAAGGGGTTGCCAACCTGACAAACATGACAAACACCACTTGGAACAACGTAACTATGTTGTGCATGCAGCATGCATCCTGTCGCTTGGTTGCTTGGTGTTTCATCTATCTTCCTGTTTGCAGCTCCCAGGGTCATTGACCACCGGGTTTTTGGATATAGGATGACATAGGTGATCCACTACGCATCCGGCACCCGCATGAACCCCACACACCGGAGCGGCACCAACGGCAGGTGCCTTCGGTGTTCGGATGGGCATCTACGAATCGGCCCCGCACCTGAGGGCGGTTTCACCCGTCGGGTCGGATTCCGTTGGTTCGTCGGATTCCGAGGTTCGATGTGGAATCGAATCCACCACAGGCCTCAGTAGGACTGCGTGATTGAGTTTGTGAACATGCATATTTCAGAGCATGCAAGACACCCAAGAACAGCACAGCAACTGCCGATGCTGGCAATTGATTGGACCAACACGGTCGTGTGGATTGGTGGATGTCGAGGAGTCCGAAGACAGCTTTTATGGCTGGCTTGTGTTGGAGCCTCGGTCTACAGTGTACACTGGTTGTTCTCGAAGTGTCCGTTAATCAGTGTTTGCATGGTGTTGCATATACCATACCATCGCATCTCGCATCTAAGTACTTGATTGTGGTGTCAAGGTACAGGATCCATTGCGAATGCCGTTTGCTGTCCATTCTTTCAAGCTAAGAATCGCTTACAGGCGCGATACAGCCGGTCCGAAACGTGGCAGCGACTCTGTCACGTCGCATGTCACCACCTGTCAGGCTCAGGGTGCAGCGACGCAAAGGACCGCTGTGATGTTTGTCATGGGCTTTGTCACTGCAGTGTCCGCAGGGGTGGTTTGTTGCAAGAGCTGGTGGCTATCACGAAAGAGAGTGGCTTTACAGGTTGGGCCAGTCAGAGTGGCTAACATTTGCACCAGAGTGTGGCAGGTTCTATGTGATTGAATGTCGTTTGATGTCGTTTGGATCATTTTGGACCTTTTTTCCTGTAGCTCACCATAGCTCACCAGTGTGGTACGCTGGCAAGCGCAGCGCAAAGCAGCATACCACTGTGTATAGAGTTGGTTTTTGGAAGTGGAAGCTCGTACTAAGAGCTTCAGCATGCTTCAGCTAGGCGAGAAACATGAACCATGCATATATCCGTGCCTCCATGCTGTTTCTCTCCAAAACAAGAAGTCGCCGTGTACTCGGTCGAATTCAGGAGAATGACACGTGAGCAAATTCACGTGTCCACTGGCCTAACAAAAATCATGTTTCAGAAAAAACCCAGCTGACGCAGTTCGAGAGAAGTGCTTAGCTGCTTAACCAGTGATTTTGGGGCACTTGAAAGTGGCCCTCGGACTTCGAGATGATCCATGATGATCCCAAGCAGGGGTGTTGAATGCGCTTTAGCATGGGGTTCCCATTTTTAGGCTGCGCGAGTTGGCGAGGCCTATACCGAGGAGTACCAGCACTCTTCATGAGGCGCTGAAGAGCGGGTCTTCTCTTGCCAGGTCAGGAAAACAACAGCATATCGTTTTGGGAGCTAGAATGGCCGCATTCGAGCCTGCTCTGTGTTGCTTCGCCCATGCACCTGGTGTATCCTGGTGTTGGTTTCTCTGAGCTACACACTGGCCACGCCCTTTTCTCCATGCAGTTGGAGCATGGTGACAGAAAGAGAGCTGAATCTTTTTGGGTGCAGGGCTCGGCTCGGCCCCGCACACCATGAGCCATTGCGTGAAATGCAGGGGCGGACTCATAGCTGGTGGGCAGCTCTTTGGCTATGACACGAAGCTTGTCGGACTCAGCTCAAACTTGGACTTTATAGACGGATGCAATCTTCCAACCAGCCGCAAAACATATTTTTTTTTCATTCAAGGCTTTCAGAGGTCTAAGACCGCAAGCGTGAGCCGCAAAACATATTCTCAAAAGAAACACAACATTCAAAACGTGTTGCTTTCTGGGGCTTTCCAACTCCCCGCTGGTCCACACCGGTGCCGTTCGATGCGCGACGGGTGATCTAAGGACCAAGCGCTTCATGGTGTCCAAGGGCGTCCAAGAGGCCAGACCGACCTGCAGTGGTAACGGACCGACCTGCAGTGGTCTTCAACCTGAATATCTGAAGGAGATCGAATAACATGGAATAACCATGTTGGACAGGCCGAGTGGGTGGATGCCGGTGGTTGTTTGGGCCGAAAAAAGGTGGACAGCAAAGGAGGGTGGTCTTTAATGGGTTTTGCAGGGTTGCCAAAGTTGGAGATCACATCGGGGAGGCCAAATCCTTTGAGCTGATTCAAGCTGCTTTCGTCATGATCAAGGTAAGATATTGCGGACCCCGGACCGAAGAACTCGTGTGACTCGTATTCTGCAGCTGATGTGAGCGATCCCGAACTCGCCGCCCGGATCGACTGATGCTTCAAAGACCTGACGAGACCCTCTTGTTGGAAGATCACTTCTCGTAACAGACCGATGCATTATTGGCTGCAAGTTCTTTCATGATCTAGAGGGGATGTAGCAACAAATATTATGATATATGATGATAGGTCGCGGGACCAGCTATATATAGATATGCTGAGCGCGACTGGGTTCTTGCGAAATCTCATTCATGTTAGACAAGTCCAAAGGTACATTGTCAAGAATAGGTAGAATTCCATTCCTTCATCCATCTCTTTGGCCCCCCCGGACAACAGGATGCCAGGAAGCGTAATCTTCTAAACACTGTCCAAACTTATTGACAAAAGGACCGGACCAAACTCCTGGATGCTTAACCTATCTTAACCTTTTTAGATCTGGTTGAGCATGTTTGAGCCAAACGATTCATTCTTGAATTACTGTATACAGTATAGATCAAATGCACAAGCAGATCAACATGTCATTTCACAGACTGTCGTCTTCATTCCTTCTTGGCCGGACTCCGGTCCGGCCAAACCAAACCAGAATCCACCAGATTCCACCCCAACCGGCCCCAAGGGGCCCATCCCAGCCACCGATCCACGCCGAGTCCTCCCGAGGGAGCCCGAGCCCGGCAGGGCCCGGTGGTGCACCTCGCGTCCTCCAGCGTCTCGGCCGTGTCGGCGGTGATGGCCTCCGCGCCGGCCGACGTGGTGCTCAATCGCTACCAGGCAGTGTCAGCGGCGGTTTCGGGGGGGTGGACGCCTGGTGGTTTCGGGGTGTTGAAGTTGAAGACATCTTAGGATGATAGCAGGTGGATGACCTAGCAGGTGGATGACAAAAATCGGTGAATCAGCACTTTTGTACCATTGCTCTCTTCAGAGGCTATGCCTCGAACATCCTCGAACTATGTCTTGAACTTTTGACAAAATTACATCAAGTGTTCTTCACGACAAAAACACAAATAACAAGCCCAAGGAACACACGAACACACCATCTACCCGGAATCTACCCCTCAGATGTTCATTCTTCATTTGGACTGATTCTTGGTTTGCAAAAGGACAGGTCTTGGTGTTTTCTTTTGTCCGACTGGCCAGGCAGGTCCACGCTTGGGCATCAAGTACCCCTCATTGCTGCACGTGGCTTCGGAGCTCTTAAGGCAGGTGGAGCACGGTGTCCGTGCCGCAAAAACTCAGCTGCTGTAGGCAGCATCAAATGAAAACCAATGTTAAAAAGGCAATGCTTGTTTTTCTTGTGTGTTCTTCTGTGCACCCGTGGTCGACTCCCGAACGGAACTCCATTTACTCCATGGACCAAACTACGTCCTCCCCCATTTCGACCGTGCTCGGACCGCAACAAGAGGCACCTACCCGGGATGCCCGGAATCCGCGCGGAATCCGGAATCCGCTCGTCCGAAGGAGTTGGGTCCAAGGGACATCTAGCAATGACCTCGAAGCTATTAGCATAAGGAACCTAATAGAAATGGCCTCCAACCGAATGGCGATGGCCTCCAACCTACCCCTCGTAGCGATGGCGGAAACAACCTACTATAGCTTCTTGCTACTACTAGTAATGCACTTGCTACTAGTAGCGATGCGTTCAGTAAACAGATGAATTGCGACAGCTCGATCAGTAGACACTCAGACATAGCTGCACGAGTCACGAGTCCTGAAATTCAGTGTTGACTTGATATCGTGTGTGAGTGGGCAATTCCACAGACGGTTTAAAGTTGTGCTGATTGATGCGCCTGTTCAATGCCGAGACATTAAAACCTCTGTGTCAACGGAGGTTTGCATGTCACTTGCAGGACCGAAGGGCCTTTGGCTTTCTACAAGGTCAGGTTTGCAGCGTTCTTGCACGCGTTCTTTCGCGCAATTACAACTATCATCAACACGAAATTCATCAAAAACCATCATGTCCAAGAAACACAGCAAATAGATCTCTAAAACATTCTAAAACTAAAACCATTCTAAAACCATTTCAAGACCATGTGACAGAAAGCACGAACAAAGCAACGCGGGCCGTGGACCCTGCTGCAGGGCGTGGTGCCCAACGTGGTGAAGTTTTTACCGTCGCTCCGATGCGGACCGGACGGGACGCGTGGCGGGACGCGTGGGGCCAAACGCACGAGAGTAAGGTGACGTGTGTGGTACCCAGACCAATCACAATTCATTGGAAGCGTCACAATTCATTTACCCTATGGATGACCGCAATGTATGTAACTATTCCATACATGGTCTGGAATATGAGTTCAAAAAGGGGTTCGTCATGGGGGAGAGGGCACATACTTATGGAGACCAAACTGCAAAAATCACTAAAAAGCCTTGAGGCAAGCCGCTTGTGATAGGTTTGCCATTAGCTTGCAGTGGGACTCAACATCTTGCAATTGGCTTAAGGATGTTTGGATGAGATCGTTCTCTTTCTGCACCAATGCGATTCGCTCATGACTCAAGGCAACTATAGGCAACTTGAATGAAGCCATGAAATGGTTGCTGTTGATACTCCTGAGGGCCAGCAGTGCCAGTCACCTTCTCTCGAAATCAGATGATACTGGTACTGTGTGGGAAGAAGACTCTGAAAGGTGTGGGATGAACGAAATGAACAACCTTCTTCAGATTAGCGTGGAAGTTGAGTTTTTTTGCGAATGCCGTGAGCAAGAATGCGCTTCGTGCTTTGCCACACAATCTCTCAGATTGGCCTGTACCGTCGCAGAGCTTGTCATTGCTGGTTGCGCCCTTGCAAGCTGTGAATGAGAGATTGAACGAAACTCAGTCCTCCAGGCTTGTGATTGCAGAGCCCACCATGCCTACACCGTTCATGACCTTGCAGCATGTCAGCAACATTCTGGTCGCCTGCACTTTTGTGTGCTTGCTTTTCCTTTGGGCATATGTTCTTTGTCGTGGCTTGCCCTGCAAAGCGACTCAGCATTCTAGTGTGAAGCACGGATGTCCCACCAGCTGGGTAGTCTTCATGGGGATGGTGTATACCTTCACATATTTCACGACCGACCAATATGTGCCAAGCCTTCCTCAGATGGGTATTGACTTATCCGGTTCTCAGGCACTGATGAGCGCCACAGTGCAGATGAACTTCGTAGTGAAAGCAGTAGCTGGTATCTTCACTGCTGGCTTATCTGATCGGATTGGCCGAAGACCCACCCTTTTGGTTTGCATGTTCTTGTTAAGTTTGGCAAGCTTTTGCTGCGGATGCGCTGGTCGTGTGGAATGGTTCGTAGCTGCCCGCATTCTTCAGGGGATTGGAGAATCTGTCGAGCCAGTGATTTTTGCGATGACTCGGGACTATTTTCCCAATCCAGAGCAACGCTTCGGGATAGTTGCTGCCTTGCAGATGATGTCCATTGGTGGTATGTTGGTCGCACCTGTTATTGGAGGCTTTCTTGCGGAGCTCTTCAACTGGCGCATGTCCTTTTTT